ACCAAAAATAACAAAATACATAACAAAACAAAGGGACCTCCTTCCGCATAGAAATTAAGCAATAACGAACGTGCTCTACGATGGTGGCTGATGGAGCGGAACCGTCGACGAGAGTCGGGAAGACACGAGGAAGAAAAAAAAAAGAAACAAACATACCTTTTTCCCTGAAGGGAAAATCGGTAAAAGACGCCACTGCAATTCAAGGTCCCATCCACGAACAGTGCATCGTGGCGTTGGAGTTGGAGGCCAACAGGGTAGCAAAGCGCATGTGAACCCGCACTGCTTGGGAACAAAAGGGTTCCATCATAAGAGGATTTTACAGGATCGCTGCCCATCACGGATTGCCAGCAGAGGAAGAAACGGTTCCGCTTTCTATTGTAAGTTTGCAACTCGCAAAGATAAGCGCCATACATTACACAAGGGTCCTAATTCCTCTGCTAGCCGCAGGGTGCGCACCAGCGCAAATGTTATTGGCCAACGTTTGCAAGTCGACAGCCGACGGCCACATCAAACAGGTTAGTCCCATGTTGGGGTGGGAGCGCCATCTCATAATCGAGCCGCTTCCACTCGAGCGAGGCAGTATAGCATCAAGGCCGGCTGGGGCCACGGCCATCAGATAGGGAGAAATCAAAGAGCCATAAAAGGAAAGCTTTGCCCCGCACCCGCCAGACGAGAACTCCATAATTGTCGACTGGGGGGCTCTGCCAAAGGCCTTCAAAAGCGACCCGCGCAGAGCAGCAAGATATTTGAAGATCGGGAGGGGGGGGGGGGCGACAAAAGAGCGCGCGCAGCCATAAAGGCCATGGGCTAAAGCTGAAAGTTAACCGCGACCACCACAACGGCAATAGAAATTATTCTTCATCCATACGGAATGGCAGCGCGTTCCGTAAAAAGAGGTGCCATGGCACAGCCGGCTCCAGCAGTTGTGGAACATGATCTGGGCCCCTGACCCGCGGCATAATCAGGAAAACGCGCCGGCCCCATGGAACCCCCCCATTGCACGGCGCAGCATCCCGGCCGATTGGCAGAAGCAAACAACCAGTCGGATCTGTTGAGATCAATAATGTGGGGCAGCTGGGGAATTTATTAATTCGCCAGAAGCGCTATCAGAGCCGGGGGGCTTTGCACGCCCTATTTTTGAGGGGCGCAGTATTATTTGACGTTCAAATTGTACGCGGGTTTCTTTGCGGGAAGAATAGTGAGAGACGTTGGCCCCCTCAGGAAGTTAACGGCTCCGCTCTTTTCCTTTCTGGGGTTTGCCAGTGCCTTAGGGCCGAGGCGCTGCAGTGTTTTGGCGCGGTGTGCAAATTGATTGGGCACCCCGCCTACACGCCCTGTGCAAAAAAGGGGTCACAATTGCGTATCGCGGAAAGAAACGCGCAAATCATGAAACAGGCTGGTTTATCCATCCTGCTTCAGACCGTCTCATATCAGGGTGGGTGGTTCCGTTCCCCTTGGCCGGGGATAAGCCGCCCAGGGAACGATGACGACCTATTGCCCGGCCCAAGCCCAAGAACGCCCAGAAAGGTTACGCGGCCGACTTTAACTGGCCCGCATTTCCCGCTATCTTAGTGCCTTCTGTGGTAAATGCCCCGTCTTGTTTAATCTAAAGGCGTCTTTTTTTCCAGGCGGGCATACCTGAAGGTATTCGGGCTGGGTTCCGTTGTCACGCGGAAAGCGGGGAACTTATCGAGTTAAATCGGCTTCCAATGAGTTTCAAATCCAGCCCTAGAATTCCGCACGTCAATATGAGAGTCTTGGTGAGAAACCTGTGGGTTGTAAGGCTGCCTTTTGCGGCCCCAGAGCTATTGAAGGCACACACGTGGTTTGACAACGTCCGCATAAGTACACCAAGGGGTGTGACCAAACACTGAGGATACTGCGTTGAAAAGAATATGCAAGAGCGCGACGAAACGGCTAGGGAAAACCAAAAGCTGTTTCAACGGTAAGAATTTATTGGGATGTTGTTTATTCATAAAAAATGGACAGTTTCAATTGGACAAAAAACAATACGAAGATTGTGCGAACCGCCTCCAATCCAGACGGCTTCGATCGAAAACATGGAGAGCACCGCCTAACGCATGTTGCGTGCAGCTGGGGTGCGGGGCGGGCCTCTCTTGCCTTACCATTTTTTCCCCTAAAAATGGTGAGACGACGTTTGTTTCGCCTTAATAGAGGATTTGCACACCCCACTGATCCCGCCCGGCTGCCCCTGCATGCGTTACAACTTGCCCAGAAATGGCTTGGCAGCTTGGTGGGCAACGGGCCAGTACGCCCGCCGCGAACTGTACCAACACCAGCCACCTTGTTTACAAACGCCTCTCTGTACGGATGGAGCGCATTGCTATTTGCAGATTCGGGATAAATATCACTTGCCGGGGGTGCTTGGAAAAAAGCACCCCTCATGATATCGCAGGCGGAACTACGAGCAGCGCACTTGACATTGCTTGCTTTTCCTCACCGCTTCAAGGGCCCAGTGAGCATATGCGTGGGTAACGTGACAGTGGTGCATATGAATAAAAGAGAAGACCCATTCAGATGCTTTAGTGTGCGACTGTGTTCATAGACGCCGTGCGGCGAGCTCCCCAGACACACACTACATGCATTTCTGCGGCTTCAGAAGGCAACCCCGCAAACGGAATTTATAGGGGACGACACCCCAAACTCAAAGACATAGCGGCGGGGTGAAAGTTGCGTAGGAGAGCACGGGGGAAAGGCCAAAGACGCTTTAAACACTTCTCTTTCGTCAGTAGGAATAAAATATGGCTTTTTGGTAATGTCTTGTTTGGGTGCAAAGTGTGAGGAAAACCCAATGCAGATCAAAAGAAAAATAAAAATACAACTTTTTCACTTTCTCTTTTCCAGATTGTCACTGTAAGAAGAAAGGTAAGGCTGATACTATTTTTTTTTTCAGGCACCTTTGATGGAACACATGTGTGCATCTTTCAGTTGTTTGTTTTGTTTTTCCCCGGGCCGTGTCTACTTGCGTGGATGCCCCCGCTTCGCCAGCCACAATCGCAGGGCACGTTCGTCACCACCTAGATTTTATTTGGACGGAGGTGCCCTTTATTTTGTTATACACTTCGTTGTTTTCGGCGTTTTGTTTTGGGCTTGGTATTTTGATGTACATTTTGTTGAGCCTGCCCAGTGGGGAAACACGCGCCGAAGGATTCGGGCAGCCATTTCCCTTCACCATGGAACCCGTAGGCCTACCTGCCCGTTTCTTGGCCAACACAGCGCAGAGGGTTAGCGCGTTTTGCCGACGATCTCGGCAAAAATCTATAAACTAAATCACTTTAGAGGGGAGAATGGGCAAAACCTGGGCATATTTTATGGTGGGCGCCATTTCTATCGGAAAAGGCCGTTGGGAACAAAGCCTTTCCACTGCAAGCGGGTATCGGGCAAACGTTTTCATGAAGCATACCTTCTCCACAACTGCCGTCGTCCACAGCAAAGTGACAACCGAGACCCTTTAGGGCGGATCAGCTCAGTAAGTGGAAGTTTGTCTCTTCGCACTGTCCACGTTGGCTCGTTTTCACGGTGTCCGACCTGAATCCATGTCTAACTATGTGGTGTCTTTTGAGTCCATTTTTTTTTTTGCGGCACTGGTGCCCACACGTTGGGTCGACAAAGGCAGCGAGGGGCAGTTCTTCGAGAGCATTCTCCTGTAGACTGCGGTGTTTCCCTGCTGTGGGCATCCCTTAGTCCTTGCGAAATCGTCTGCAGTGTGACGCGGCTGAATCGTTATGAGCTAATCATTTCAATCGCACCATGCATTGAGTTTCCTTCCGCTTTTCTGGCGGTATGGGGTTCTTTCCCTCGTGCTTTGCCGGCGATTCTGCCATGAGGAATGCCTCTGTTCATGTGCGGTTTGAAAGATGGGATAATGCTTCGTCGCATTCTTTCTGCTCTTTTTCTTGCCGTGTGGGGGAAGCGCTTCCCCTCTATCTCGCTTGAGGGGTCTTGGTGTTTTTTTTTGCCCTTGCGTTCTATTATTCAGTCCGCCGGGGTGCTTGCATTTCATGTGGATCGCCATTCCACCAGGGTTGCCCATGATGCTGCGACATATTGGGCAATATAGTGTGGGTCGTGGCGTCGCTGGTTGTGGCGGCTCTTCTGGGGAGCGATGCTTGGCACGGGTCTGGGGAAGCAGCCCTGCCTTGAAAAGGGCTCTGGGCCCAAAGTGCTCACATGAAAAAAGCGGGTCTTGGCCTTCTCTTCATTCTCCCGCGGCCGTTTGCGTTCTGCGTTTTGGCATTGCTGGGGGTGAAAGGGGCGAAGGTGCCTTGTTAGCCCGGCCTCTCCTTTGCACGGCGCCGCGCATCGGTTTCAAGCGAATCCCCCCGCCCCCCCCTCGGGACCGGGGCTGGTTCGGCCACCGCGCCCGGTTTGCGCGTTTTGGGGCGTTGCCGCCGCTGGTGCGGAGGCGCCTGTCG